CACCACATGCCAGCCAGCCCCGCCCCCTGGTGGGCTGAGCTGGCCACACACACACATAAATAAATAAATAATTTTAAAAAATCAAAATTAAAAAACTAAATGTATTTTCTTCCTGACTGAAGGCTTTGCAGATTAACCACCTCCATCCTTGTGCTATGGTACTGAGGTAGCTTTGGTCTGAACACAGACCGCGTTGGAAGCGATGTGACAGACGATTGGAATTGGGGCCACAAGCCCTTCTTGCCAAGTCTGAGCAATAACAAGGATTTAGAAAGAGTGCCTCTGAATCAGGCTAAGTTGGTGTAGAGTTCACTGTCAAGTCTAATCCTACTTTGTGATCAGCACAAAATATTTGACCTAAAATATTAGAACTTTAGCAAATTCTTACATTTCATGCAAGCAGGCATAGAAGCTAAAGAAAGCAAAGCAAATCCAGTCTGTAGAGTAGAATGAAACTAAGAAGCATAGTAACCCAGTTAATCAAAGAAATTAAGTATTTCTGGGAACCAAGATTAGCTCTACCAGAGAACTACAGCAAGCAAACAGTGGACTTAAAAAGTCCCATCTTCTTGTGAAGCAGTAAGATTTACCATTTGGGTGAAAACACATAATCAACTAATCCAAGACCAAGAATCACAGCTTAGTAACACCGTTAGGATTTTGTAGATACACCAACAGAACGGTAAACCATCCCAAATTCAGTGTGCAAAAGTTATCTAGTTTATCGGGCCGGGGAGATGGCTCAGTGGAATAAGCACTTCCCTGGCAAGTGCAAGGGCCTGAGTTCGATCCCCGGTTCCGCCAAAAAAACAAAACAAAAAACAAAAATTATCTAGTTTACCAACCCAAAGCATACATGTTTTGAGCAAATCTTTCTCACTGGCCACGGGCAGCATAGCTTTTATGAGTTATACAACCAGAGGCAATATAGAAGGTGCTGGTTTAGCAAAACAAGTTAGTTACTATTATGGCATGTAAAGACAACAGTCATGATTAACAGCATGCTGCCAGAAAAATTGCATTTTTAAAAATGAAAATCATAATGATAGCAGTTTATACATTCAGAATGGTAAAACAAAACCTTAAATAGATATTGAAGCAAATGCACTTCCTCAGATTTTTTTAAATTTTTATTTATTTATTTATTTTTTTTTGAGGAACCAGGGATTGAACTCAGGCCCTTGCGCTTGCCAGGGAAGCGCTTATTCCACTGAGCCATCTCCCCGGCCCCGCTCAGATTTATTTTTTTAAATATTTAATAGAGAACATAAGAAATTATTCTGACCAATTTAAAATTTCTTTTTTACAGTTTTATTACAAATTTTACTAAGAACAGAATCAGTCTCCTAGGTCTTATTGTTTTAA